GTGCCAGTGGTAATTGGAGCACTGGGGGCTGTGACCCCCAAACTGGGAGAGTGGCTAAAGCAGATTCCAGGTAAAACATCAGAGGTCTCTGTCCAGAAGAGCGCAGTCCTAGGAACAGCTAAGATACTGCGCAGAACCCTCAAACTCACAGGCCTCTGGTAGAGGACCCTAACTTGAGGATGACACATACCACCCCACGAGGGGTGAGAAAGTTTATATAGAAGACCTCCGCTTTATACTCTTAGTGTTTAATTTTAACTCCAGAAATTAACCATCCCGGTCTATTTCTCTTTCTTCTCAATTTTTACATTCATTAAATTTAGTATCCTGATTAGAAAAAAAACATGTTTTGAAAAAAAAGCTAAGACTTAGCAGTTCCTTGAAAACTAAATAGAATTAGATTTAATTGAGATTATGCTCTCAATATTTTTATTCACTGTAAAAATATTTTGTGAAATTTTTTATTAGAACTGTTTTCAAAAGTTTAATTTTATTGTGAAGGGTATCTTTTGTTATGTTATACTGCACCTCCATTTTGAGTGATTGACAAAGAAAATGTGTAAACGTGTTTTTTCCATGGCTGCTGAAATGTTGTTACCTGAGCTATGATGAAGAATAAACAAAGAGTAAACTAACGGACAGTGTGATTATTTAAATTATGAAAAAAGAAAAAAACACCTCAACAGATTTATAAAAGGAAGTGAGATATGAGTGGTAAAAGCATGTTAACCTTCTAAGAAATCCACAAGCTTGTGAAACAGCACGTAGATTTGCCCACAGTCTTAATTACGTGCTTCAACCAACGACAACCATCACCATAATATGGTGCCGATTGTATTCATTATTTTCACTTCAATAGTTTAATTCACTGGGCAAAAAGCTTTTTTTTTATACACCATAATTAAACCTTGAGTTATATTCAAAGTTCGGATAACAGAAAAATTAAATATATGACATCCTAGATTATTTAAAAAATTTTGTATTTACTTTGGGAAGTAACTAGTTATTTTGGATTTGTTTTTTTAAAAAATAATTCAAATTATTTGAGAAATAATTCAAATTATTTCTCAAAAAAACACATCCAAAATAACTAGTTACTTCCATGGGAAAGAAGTTCCGTGGCAGTTCTGAGTGACAGCAAGCACAACAAGGCAGAGGACAGCTGTGTGTTTTCCTACTTTTTAATATTGTGAAATTGCACAATTTCTTACAATTAGGATCCTCCTTAGCTACTGTACTGACTTAGATACTGACTTAAATTCTGCCATGCACGTGGGCATTATCAGTTTAACTATAGCTCTTGTGAATTTCAATGGTGAAGTCCTCTTGAAATCTTCAATAATTGTTGTTGATTGCAGATGTGTCTAGTAGTTCCATTGATTCTGCTTGTAAAGCGACCGTGACCGTGACATCACTGCCGGAAGATGTCAGGAGTGAGGTGTTACTATATTTGGGCAAAATGGCCACTCCCAGACTCAGTGATCACAACAAGATTTATTGTTTTAATTTTTTTACTGATTAACGCTAAATTCAATAAATCACTGCAAATGTATTAGTTTTAGGTATAAATAATAATCCATTGGTTATTCCTTGCTGACTGGACTTTTTCTTAAAAAAAACGCAATTCCTCTCAGCTCCTCAGAGGATAATGACTCACAGTTACAGGTAAAAAGATCTAGAAATCCCAAATTGTCGAGATTTTAAAGTCATGCAGAGGTTGAGTATTAGTTTCTCTAGCATCATTATATCAGACAACATCTTAATGCCATGTGTTTTTCAGCAGAGCACACACAGAAGCAGAGACAACTTCAGATTTAAGAATAAAACAGATTTATTTATACAATAAAATCTCAGAAATATTTTACAAGAAAAAACATGTTATGTTATATTTAAGGGGAGTGGCGGCCTGGTGGTCAGGGCATAGGGGTTTGAATCCTGAGGTTTTGAGTTCGATCCCCCACCCTGGGTCCCTGAGCAAGACCCTTAACCCCACACTGCTCCCCGGGCGCCGCACAATGGCAGCCCACTGCTCCCCAAGGGGATGGGTTAAATGCAAATAATTCATTTCGTTGCTCTGTACTTGTGACAGTGTAATGACAATAAAGTTGAATTCTATTCTATTTAAAATGCACTTTTGTCTTTTGTAAATCAGCAAGACTCAGAAATAGCTGTACCAGCCAACTAAGGCGCAGAGCCAGACTCACAGCCGAGAGAGAGACTTCAAATTTTAATTTAAAAAACCTATAAGATTCAAAGCACAAAAAATACAGTCAAAATCAGTGAATCAATGATTTGATTTAAAACCTTCAATATTCAGACTTTGTCTGTCAAAGATATGTGTGGGGGAAAAGATAAACTAGATTTTGTTGCTTGTGAAGGGGGATATTAATCTAGGATACAGATGAAATGGAAGCCATCCGTCTATCTGGGAATC